TCCCTGGCCTTGCGTGCTAACCGCGACGGACGCTCGCGTCCATCGTGAGCCGACACCACTGAACAGGGCCCACTTACGGGGTAAGGTGCCCCAGGACCATATTACCCCAGGTCCTCCTTCCTCCTCCTTCTCACTCCTCCTCCTCCTCCTCCTCCTCCCCCTCCTCCTTCTTACTCCTCCTCCTCCTCCTCCTCCTCCTCCTCCCGACTTCTTCTCCTCCTCCTCCTCCTCCTCTTCCTCCTCCCCCTCCTCCCCACTTCTCCTCCTCCTCCTCGTTCTCCTCCTCCATCTCCTCCTCTATCCTTATTCATGAAATGTATAGTGCATATCTTTACCCAGGTAGATACACCGTTGTGTACACATACATGACTGTGTGCATTTTGTTCATATTTATAGTTTTGGATACATACATATATATATATATATGTATATATGTATATACATGTGCATGTATACATACGCTTAATTGTTTATGTATGCGTCGATATCGGTTCTGTTTATTTCCCAACCATCCTGTGGTGTTGGGTCCTCGTTTTGAAGAGACGGTGCCCCGCGTCTCCTCCTCCCGCTGCCCCCTCCCTCCTCCCTCCTCCCCCTCCTTGCCTCTGCTCTCGCCACATCCCTCGCACATTTCGTAGCCCCATAGGGAGCTCCACCGAAGGCCCCAGTGGTTGCTCTCGCATGCGGTTCCCCCACCCAGGGCAGCGTTTCGTGGCCCCGTAGGGAGCTCCACCGAAGGCCCCAGTGGTTGCTCTCGCATGCGGTTCCCCCACACAGGGCAGCGTTTCGTGGCCCCATAGGGAGCTCCACCGAAGGCCCCCGTGGCTGCTCTCGCATGCGGTTCCCCCGCCTAGGGCAGCGTTTCGTGGCCACGTAGGGAGCTCCACCGAAGGTCCCAGTGGCTGCTCTCGCATGCGATTCCCCCGCCTAGGGCAGCGTTTCGTGGCCGTGTAGGGAGCTCCACCGAAAGCCCAGTGGCTGCTCTCGCATGCGGTTGCCCCCCACCCAGGGCAGCGTTTCGTGGCCCCGTAGGGAGCTCCACCGAAGGCCCCAGTGGCTGCTCTCGCATGCGGTTCCCCCACCCAGGGCAGCGTTCGTGGCCCCATAGGGAGCTCCACCGAGCGCCCCGTGGCTGCTTCCGCATGCGGCCCCAGTGGCATGGCTGTCGCATGCGGTTCCCCCACCCAGGGCAGCGTTTCGTGGCCCCATAGGGAGCTCCACCGAAGGCCCCAGTGGGGGTGTTCGCATGCGGTTCCCCCACCAGGGCAGCGTTTCGTGGCCCCATAGGGAGCTCCACCGAAGGCCCCAGTGGGGGTGTTCGCATGCGGTTCCCCCACCCAGGGCAGCGTTTCGTAGCCCCATAGGGAGCTCCACCGAAGGCCCCAGTGGGGGTGTTCGCATGCGGTTCCCCCACCCAGGGCAGCGTTTCGTGGCCCCATAGGGAGCTCCACCGAAGGCCCCAGTGGGGGTGTTCGCATGCGGTTCCCCCACCCAGGGCAGCGTTTCGTGGCCCCATAGGGAGCTCCACCGAAGGCCCCAGTGGCTGCTTCGCATGCGGTTCCCCCACCCAGGGCAGCGTTTCGTGGCCCCATAGGGAGCTCCACCGAAGGCCCCAGTGGCTGCTCTCGCATGCGGTTCCCCCACCCAGGGCACCCAGGGCAGGCGTTTCGCATGCGGCCCAGGGCAGCGTTTCGTGGCCCCATAGGGAGCTCCACCGAAGGCCCCAGTGGCTGCTCTCGCATGCGCCCCCCCCGCCCAGGGCAGCGTTTCGTGGCCCCATAAAATGGGCCCCACCGAAGGCCAGCGTTTCGTGGCCCCATAGGGAGCTCCACCGAAGGCCCCAGTGGCTGCTCTCGCATGCGGTTCCCCCGCCAGGGCAGCGTTTCGTGGCCCCATAGGGAGTTCCACCGAAGGCCCCAGGGGCGCAGTTCGCATGTGGTTTCCCCACCCAGGGCAGCGGTTCGTGGCCCCATGGGGAACTCCACCGAAGGCCCCAGTGGCGCAGTTCGCATGCGGTTCCACCGCCCAGGGCAGCGTTTCGTGGCCCCATATGGGAGCTCCACCGAAGGCCCCATTGGCTGCTCTCGCATGCGGTTCCCCCACCCAGGGCAGCGTTTCGTGGCCCCATAGGGAGCCCCACTGAAGGCCCCAGTGGCGCAGTTCGTGTGGTTTCCCCGCCCAGGGCAGCCTTTCGTGGCCCCATAGGGAGCTCCACCGAAGGCCCGCCCCAGTGGCGCAGTTCGCATGCGGTTCCCCCACCCGGGGCAGCGTTTCGTGGCCCCATAGGGAACCCCACCGAAAGCCGCACCCACACCGCGTTACGAACAATTGCACAGACACACGCGCACACACACACATATATATATATATATATATATATATATATATATATATATATATATATATATACACATGCATGTGCATTTGTACACGTACATTCAGATGTAATTGGCTATGTGCACGCATACAGCTATGCATGTGTATGTGTGCTTGTATGTGG